TAATTTCTGTAAACTTATAAAATCAATCGATCAAACAACTATTTATAAAAAAAAAGTAGCTCCAAAACTAATAATTATAATAATAAATCATTCAGTTTATATCGAATTACGTCAAAAGAGTACTAGTTTAAAAATCAAATAGTTTTTTGTAGTATCAACTTTTTTGATAATTATAAAAAACTAATAATTTTTTAAGTTATCAAAATAAATTGTTTAATTTAAAGTTAATAATTAGTTTATTTCTATGAGTTAAAGAGCTTATCTGACTCTTGATTCGCCTAACTCTATTCAGTCTTTTGTAATTCATGATACTTTTTTAATTATTGAGGGTTTTAATAATTATAAGAAAATTTTAAAAATGAAAAACACTAAACATTTTACCAAATAAATTTATGTCATATTTGTAATAACTGTAATTATCATACAATGATTAATTATTCAAGATCTTTGCATAATTGAAAATTAAATTGCACGAGATAATTATTCAATGAATATTAATAAGGTGTTATAAATTTACAATGTACTCTAGCAATGTCTAACATAAAATTGAATATGAAACAGATTAACATCTTAATATAATTGATTGCAATCTACATTTTAAATTTTAGTCAAATTAGTAAAATATATAAATAGATATATTTTGATTAGGGGAGGGTGAGGCAAGCTTTAGATATCCTTAAGCTCTCATTAGTTATATAAAATAATGTAATAATCATACAAACTTGAAATTAGGTATATAACTCCTAAACATATTAAAAATAGCAAAAAGCTTATTTCTTAGTTCTTATTAATTTAAATAAAATTAATTAATTATTAAAAGTGTCTTCGTGCATCACACTAGGAACACTGAAATAATTTTTCAGTAAATTAGTAAAACAAATTATAAATCATAACGATTTATGTTTATAAAATTAATTACAGTAATAATATCATTAAAAAACCTTTGTTTTCAACTATTATTTTTAAATTATTATATATACATAAATATCACATATATTTTGATTACAAGTTTTATACAATAGAAAACGATTGCAATTATATTATTAAATTATACTACATTAGTACATTAATTGTTATTATAATAATTATAATATTATATATATACAATAGAAAATGTTTGTTGGGGTTGACTCAATCTTTCATTTCGCCCATATTGTTTTTTAATAAAAAAACCGGTCAAAACTTTAAACTATTAGACTAACTTGAAAATTACAATTAAGTATTATTCATTACAGCTAACCCTAGCTAATAAAGTATAAACAATTGATTTACTTACTTTAACTGTAAATAAAAACTTTACGCTGACAACACAAATAACATTAAAAAGTTTAACATGAAAATAAAATCGTTGATGTTATTTAATTAGACTGGTTATCCATACATAATATTCATATAAAGTATTTACAATGTTAATATTTACATTCATAAACTATTCCTAGATATCAAATAGCATTTGTAAGGTTGAAAAGATCATTTTGATCCGTCTTCCCCTATAAAAAAACCAGAACTGTCATTCTTTTTATTTGGTTGTATAATTTATATATGAAGTAATTAATATAGAAGATTTCACGAAGTATAGTAAGGTAACATAAATAAATTTAATTTTTCAAAGAAATTGAGTTTTTGCTGTAATTAAATTTAGATTTTAATCATTCGTACGTTTAAACAATCCAATAAATAGTTGTAAATAAATAAATAAATATTTATATATTTTTTCTTTATGAGGTATATTTTAAATTAAAGGAACAATAGACGATTATTTAAAAAAAAAAAAGGTATTTTATACAACTCTAGAAATTTCTTTTATTTGCATTTTCAGATCTTAAATATAAATAATTTTATTTCTATGAATCCTTTTCTTTTATTGTATAATTTTTATTAAAAGTGGTTATTTATTTATATTCATCATATTAGTGCCAACAAAAATTGGATAGATTTAAAAAGTTTCAAAGGCATGGAAATAAATGTTTATAGTGTTGTTTTATTTTTTGTGTAACTTTTCAGTATTCTAATTTTAACTAACAAAAATTTTATAAATCAAAATGTAAAAAAAAATCAACAGAGTATGAAATTGGGTTCTATAGCAAAACTTTCAATTTCTCAATCAGAATTTAAATATTCACAACTGAAGTTTATACAGAAAAACTTTTTTAAAATTTATATTTTTTATTATTGTATGTATAAATATTTCACTAAAATTAGCTCTTCTGAAAATTCTAAAATAATGTATAAAAATCCGTATTTAGCACCACCTTTTAATTGAACCTAAAATAAGCAAAAAATTTAGTATTCAATTTTACCCTGTTCAACTTAGTGTATCCAATTATATATAATATATAAGAATGCTGAAAGTAGATATTTTATCGTCAGTTTTTAGTTCTTTGTATAAGAATCTTCATTTTTGAATTCTGCCTACAATTTTGTAATTTCCATTTAGTTGACATTGTTTATCATTTGCAACCATTATGTATTATTAACAATATAAGTTATTAATGCGTACGTTAAATATATACATCTAAGTAGCTGTGTTTGTAAATATTTATGCATCCGTTTTACTGTATAGTATGCGTGGAATATTGTAAATGGCCCTTATTTGTTATGCTCTTCACGATAATATAATGGTAAAAAAGCTATCAACATTTTATTGACGATGAAAACTTAATAAATGGGTTTATGACGGTTTTTAGCAAAGTTCCAGAGAATAGCCGCTGGAATCGACTAAAAGTTGTAGGCTTATATTCGGGTTAAGTTAACCCCACAGAGAAGGACGCATATCTCTCTTTCTTTCCACGTGTAGGACGTGGTTAGTCATGTGAACGAGGTCACCGGGTCAAACTCAACAATGCAACGACCCAAAATACCACCTCAAATTTCAGAGAGCTTCAATCGTTTGTTTACGACGTGTTTTGTTAAGTTCAAAAAAAAAAAAAGGCTGGCGAAAAGAATGTGTTTTACAATGGAGATTTGGCCATTTAAAATCTCGAATAAAATCAACAGATTGAAACCTTATTTCTCGCATTATTTTAACTTCTTTCTACTTATTTATGTTTTACCTTATGTCGAAAAATGTATTGTATTTCGTTTTACTCGTATAAACAACTCTGAATAAGTACTATATTTATTGTTTAACTTTATCAAATTGTTGCGTTTGCCTATTTTTTATTTTAGACAATTTATGGACCGTCAAATATTTTCTTTATCAAAAATAACTTCTGTTCTTTAAGTTTATGATTGCCGCCATAGTAGAAAATCTTCGACGTAATATTTTGTAAAATTATAATTAATTACTAATGCTATACTTTATGTTTGAACATAAAACATTATCCATGAAATATGACTAATTAACTTTTAAGTAAATTTATAAGTTTAATTAGATATATTGGCATTTAAAATTTTTCCAAATAATAAAGTGTGATGGAAAACTTTTATTTTGATAAAAACTATTTTTTTTAGCAATTGTAAAATGAAAATTCAATTAAGTATAAAAGAAGACCGAAATGAGAATAACACTTTTCTTCCAGTTTATTCTTCATAAAAATGGCTTTAAACTTTGCTGAATTACATTTTTTTTTTCAATATAAATAAATCTGGCAGCGAATCATATTATATCTATTGTTCCTTCAGTATTTTGCTAAAATTAAACATCGAGGCAAAAACAAAACAAAAGATTATTAACCCAATTTACATTATGGCCATGATACAAAAATAATTAATAAAAAAATAATTAATTTTAAATTTATTATCAAAGTAAAAATAGCCTTTAAATTAATAATTGTTAAATGTCTGCCTTCTCATTCTTTTTAAAATATATCGGAATAATAAAAATATCATTAATTAAAATAATATATTTTTGGATCGAGAAAACATTTTTACATGGGTCAATATTTAAAACAGTTTATTTTACTAAAAAAGTTTTACACTTTTTATTTTTACTTAACGGGTAGATGTCTTATGATTTGCTCTATAATATAAGAGACAAACATAATTTATATATCTGTACCTATATCTATTTAAAAATTCTTTTTAATAAATTAAAAAATGTTATACTTTATTAATGCAGTACAAAAGCGTAAAATTTATTTAAAAAAAAGTACTGCAAAATAATTACCAAATAAGAATTATAGAAATCGTAATTATATAATATAATTAATTATATATATAATTAAGCTAATAGTTAACAAAAAATTATATGTCATGTAATTAGATTTGCTTGCTATTTTAGCCGAAAAGATTGTAAGATTACTTTTTATTGAAATTGAATTTATAAATGTTGTAATATTATTTTAAAAAAACTTATTAAATTAAATTAAAATCTACCAACATATATTAAAAATAAATTTTATACCTAAACGTTTTGGATAAATAGCAAAAATTTCTGCAGAGTTTGTTCTAAAATAAAATTAAAGGGGTTTAAAATGTTGCTTTAACTATCCGAATTCACCGTCCTTCACTTATGGCAATGCTCAGAATGTTTTACATTCTTAAGTAAATATTAGTTTTATTATAAATATTGAGTTCTCAATCCTCAAATGGCTCTTCAAATTTTCTCTTTGAAAAGTTCCACCAAAAACGAAAATTTTCAATTTCGCCTACTTTGCATTAAAAAAATAAAAATACCTCCAACATCTGGTTTGTATTTCATCAAATTTGCTGCGGTAAAACTTTTGGATTGTAATAATTTGCATGCATTTTACGTTTGAAGAGTTTTTTTTCATCAACCATCAGCTTAAACTTTTTCAGTTTGATAAAAATCAATATCGTATAATGAAACTGTAGGTGATTATGGATAAGTAAATATTTGACTGTATTAAAACATTGTTCAAGTATACCTCTTAACTTGAAAACGAATGAGCTCAATGTCTTACCAGGAAATAATTTTTTATAATAATTCGTATTCATTTACCTTTTCACAGAACTTTCTTTTATACTTCTACATCATCGGTAAAACAACAAAATGACATGGTAAAATACACCTTTTAATTCACTTGTGTTTTTTACAGCTTGGATTCTTGGATCATGGATGTGTAAAATTGTACCGTACGTTCAAGGGGTTTCTGTGGCCGCTTCAGTGTACAGCCTCATTGCCGTATCAGTAGATAGGTGAGTTAAAACGTCATACTTTTCAGTATCTAGAAGACATTATACAAATTATCTACACAATACTTATTAGGATGTATTTCGCTAACTGCGATTGCAACGTTATATCACACAAAATGAATATACTTTAATTGACAATTTTTCGTGTAAATTAGTTATTTAAAAGTTTATTGGTGCACCATAAAAAAATCAATCATCAAAATGGGTTTGATTTTAAACATAATTTGGCATTATATTGATATTGAAATATCACATCAATAATACCACACATTATGTAAGTCGATTTATAGGAAAATAAACGTAATGCCATTAACAAAGAGCAAGATTTGAAATACAATTAGGTTTTCAACGTAAACTCGATGAATAGTATCAAGATGATGAAAATTTACGATTAATTGAAAATAAAAAACAGTCGAAATAGAAATATTTTTTTGGTGAAACGAAAATAGATTTACTAAAAGATTTACTTGTCACTATATAAACATTTATCGTTAGGCAGTTAAGTGGCAAAACTTCCAATGGGACGCGTCTTTAACGTTTATTATGTAGAAGTTTTTTTATTTTACTATAAACTGTATTTTGATTGCATTTGTCCTTAGAAAATTACTTTTTCAGAAGTAATTGATACTAAGTAAATGAATAAACTTTTGTTATTATTTAAATACACCACTTATTTAATATACAGTTAATTTAGTTCTAAAAATACCCTATTTTTCCTCTAATTAAATTGAATTGAATTTGATTTTTACATAAAAATAAATTTTCTTAAAATACTTTATATTTAATTAAAATCGGTATGCTTATTTGACTAATAGTGTTATGAAAAACTAATATATAGATTGTAAAAAATAATAAATAATTATAGTAATATATTTAATGTTTATTTAAAAGTCTTATGCCATTTTTGTTATCGAATTTATATCGATTTCATAAATATTATATGATATTCATTATGAATTTCACTAAAACCAGAACCATAAAATACAATATTAGAAAAATTAAAATAACGCTTAATATTAATCACCGAGCTGAGTTTTTTAATTAAAAATATTTTTTCGATCATTTTCGAAACCTTTTAGATGGTTTAAAATGTTTTGTCGAATTACTCGTGTGTACCAGTTTGTAAACCTGGATTAACTTTTCGTGGGATAGGTGTATTTTTTACTTAAATTTGTTTATTTTTATGATAGTAATAAGTAATAAAGTATAACATTTACTAATGTATCGTACGCTTTTTCAACGGCTTACATCAACGTAAAAAAGACCATTAGGATGAATTCAATTATTTTCAAAGGATTACTTTGTTCAATATAATGCTTTCTCTGAGTAATGTTTTTCAACACTTATCAACAAATCCCTTTGTTTTGAAAATATGTCGGTATTATTAGTAGTTATTAACTATTTCATATTCCCTCGTAATGATACTTAAATCATAGTTTGATAAATATTAATTTTTCAAAGTTTTAGACATTTTAATTAAACATTCACAATAAAAATTAACATGTGCATACACAGGTAAAACATACAATTTTTACCTTAAGACACAAGTAGTTCCATGTTTGTGTGAATATCACCAGTAAATATTTAAAGTTCAAAACGCGTTAAAATTTTACTTTGAATTTTCACTATTATAAATTGTGTAAAATAATATATGTGAGTATATAGGTAATAATTAAATTCAATTTTTAATGCCTTATCGATTCATTATTTCTAAGATATTGTGTTGAATAAATAATTTTTACAAAATAAATAAGTGGGTTTTAAAAAATCATTAATAATGGACCACGGGTACGACGGGGTGGACACCAGCCACAGGGTGAACAGAAGCTACAGGTACAGAAACAACAGGGTGAACAACTGGTTGTACGACTGGGTGGACTGATGCCGGGACAACAACGCGAACTGGAGCAGGTGGATGAGATTGTACAACAGCTGAAGAATGAACTACTGCGGTTGGTTGGTGAGCGACTACAGGTACGACAGGAACAACGGGAACGTATGGGGCAGCGGATGCAATGGCCACCAAGTATACAGCGAGAGCAATCTAAAAAATATTTACATTTAATTATTTGTCAGTTAAATTATAATCGACTGAAATTTTAATATTGATATCATTTCATAAAGTAACAATTGAAATCGGACCAAAACATTTCTTGTTACTTAGTAAAAATTAAAATAAATTGCTGTAAAGCATTAAGATTTATTAATGAGTGACATGAAAAAATAATGTATATGGAATCCTATGGCCAGAATGATTGAAAATTATGAGATTTTTTTTTTTTTTTTTGTACAAAAAATCCATCGTTGAAATAACTGTAGAAATAATAATTTTTATTTTAGAATTGTAAAATAAATATTGTAATATCAAATGCGCATCTAAATAACTCACGTGGCCTACATATATAACTGAGGTACAAAACTCTTAGTGAAATAACAATTCAATCAAACTTTTTTAATGAGAGATGAAAATGAGACATCACATTATTATACGTTTAACGTTTCTTGAACAGAAAGCCGTAACGTCGGGCCACATTGCATCTTTATTGATCCTTCTTCTCACTCCCATAATGCGCCACAGCTGCAACTTAATACATCTTCCAGTCTAGCATAATTTATTACTTCTGACTTAACTGAACTATTTAAATAGCAAGTTAATCAATCAACCGCATGTCCCATAATTAATTATTATAGATTATTATATAGGCGATAAACTGTCAATCAGTATATTTTTTGTATTTTACCACCAAAGTTATTATTAAATACCGTACAAGCTTTACGATTAAATAATATTTAGAAATTAATAAAAATTATTTATTTCTAGTAAACTTATCGACTTGGATGAAATTATATTTTTAATAATTTGTTGATATTACATTTTTTTTTATTTTTGATTAATCTATAAATATAACCGGGACATGCAAAGTTTATTTTTAAAAAATAATAACTTCTATTCATCTCGTATTAAAAATCCGCGTGGTTTTAGTTTGTTAAAATTTATTTATTGATTGATAATTAAGATTGTTAAAATATTTCGACCATTGGTATAAAATTATTAGGCCTAATATTCAAAATTGGCACAATATCTACTTTGGTAAATCTCTTAACCTCTAGACTACATGAAATGGCAACGATTCAAAATTACCTCGATATTCATGTTGATTTATAAGGAAGAATAGCTTTCTACCATTTTTATTTGGTTAATTTGAAAATTGTTAAATAGACTTAACACTATTGCGTGTGATTATTCGTTTAAATTTATATAAACGGTATATGGAGTTTTAACACGAAANTGTGATTATTCGTTTAAATTTATATAAACGGTATATGGAGTTTTAACACGAAAGTTTTTTTAAAACTTGCCTAATAAGTGCTTTTAGTTTGATTTGAGTTATTTATAGTTTTATATTTATAAAAGTATCTTAAATAATTATATAATTGATAAATTCAGTTACAATTTTAACTAATAAAATAAAATTTTTTATTTTTATTACATATAAGTAACACATAGTAATAATTACTTTGAGTTAGACTTTTGTGAGAATCATAATACGTTTTTATAAGTAAAAAATATTTATAAAATTATATAAATATAACAAAACATTTTTACTAAAATTACTTTTGTAATAAATAGACAATCAATAAATTTTGAAAGGTTTATTTTGTTTAAAAATAAAATGTAATTAATTTATTAAAAAAATTTTATTTGTCTCAATTATTAGTGTTAAAACATAAATTTCATGCATTGAATACCTTTGAAAAAAAATCATGGGTTCTTCATAATTATAGGGTGGCAATATTTGGTACCCCAAGTAGCACAATTTCTAATGCGATCCTGTCTAAAATAATAATTTTAGAGTGTTTGACATTTTTTTAAATACATAGGCGGTCATTTGGTAAAATTTTTAGGGGCATAGAATGATTAAAGAAAATTGACCAAAAGACTTACTTAAAGTAACAATAAAAATAACATTTTTACGGACTATTGACCGTCCACGATTATATTCCTTAAGTTTCAATGAATTTTCTAATATACATAAAATGTACTATATGAAAATAAATAATAATGCACTTACTGTAATTTTCATCATTTTGAAAATGGATTTTTACCGCAAGTTTTTCAGAATGTTTGAATGGATTCTTTGTAACTGGTAACATTCTATACGATGCTGGCTTCTTTTATATGTTTTATCAAAATCAAAGCAGGACATGCTGAATATGTCAAGTCAGTGTCAAGTTTACATAGAACTTTGTTGAACTTGTCCGCCATTTACGGTTAACCAGCCGAACTTGACACGCTTAAGCCTTTGTTGGAAACTTGCGGGGAATTCTATACGAAGACGTCCGAAACATACACTTAAATTGTGTACTTACGGACACAATTCGTCAAAGACCTTGAGAGCTGCAATTATGTCATATAATGGTCATAACAACATAAACACATTGTATTCACATGACAATGTATATCGATGGTCTTATAAAGAAGTACGGTCAGATCAATCAAGCATATCAAAACAGTACTTTTGCAATAAAAATCTGGATAGACTTAATGCTGAGGCCATTCAAATTGTAAACAATATCATAATATGTTAATATACAAGGCAGTTAAAACTGTTATGTAAACAATTCATGTTATCAAACAAATTTTTGAAGTTAATTATCTATATTACAATTTAAAAGTAAAATTAAAATTAAAATTGACAATTTCCCTGAAATAGAAGTTATATAGAACTATTTCTATTTCGGATTACTCCTACAATACATACAAGTTAGTTACTTGAGTATTGATTTTCATATCTTCAGATTAATTTGCATGATGACAATGACAATTAATTATTCGAAATCTCATCTAAATTAAAACTTGAAAATTGTTTCTCGAGTCATTTGTTATTCATCATTAAATGAATTGCGACCAAAAAATATCTCTAGATTTTCTGAAGTCCGATCATTAAAAAAGCGTACAATTTAAACAGATATTCCTCGTAAAATAAATTACTTGAAAAAACTGGATTAAGTTTATATTATTGTTTATTAATAACAATAGAATATAAAAATATATCCGAAATTGTGTGATAAGTATTAATCATATAAACATTGTGTAAAACAATGTTTATATTATAATTGCATTTGCATATATATTTATATATTCGTTTAGTACGACAAAATACAACACTAATAACATTAGTTACTTAAAAAAATGTATGGATAATATTCTAATTCAGCAATAACTGATAACATTTAGACCTATTATTTTTATAACAAACCGTAAAATGATATTTCTAGCTGTTTCTCAACACGTCAATTAGAATTTAAGAAATTATTAAAAATAATTTTGAACCATAATCAACTAATTTTCTAAATGTAATTATATATTTGTCTCGCGTATCAAATATATATCTACAAATTAGCACTTCTAGAAATATTTAAAGTTTAGTTGTATAGTTTCATTATAATAAAGCTGATGTATAAGTTTTAAGTTTGAAATAGTATTTTAATTTTGTTTTGAAACAAGCTATCGAGAAATCGAAAAATTATTTAAAAGCCATTGCACATACTCGTAAACAATGTGTATTAATTAAATTTTATCAATGCTAGTCCAATATAGATTTAATGTAGAAACAAATAAAATTAAACTCTGTGATTTGAAAAATTTTCAAAGACATATTTTATTTTTAAAAGTTATATTTTATTCCAAAAACACATTTTACATAGTTTTTAAATAAATGATATGTAAATTTTTTAAAGTGTTATGAAAAACATTATCTACTTCAATTAATGTTCAATTTAGTTTTATAATCTTAATAGTAAATATTGAAAATGATGTCAGGTATTGTAAAGACTGTCATCTGATCTACATAAATATTTAATTATTAGTATAACATCATTACGGTGTTGATAAATCTTCGACCGTCGAATAAAAAGACTCAAAGAAATGTACGATTTTAATAATTTATTTTCCCATTAAAAAATAGAGCCTTTCATTAGTGTTATTATTAATACTTGATAGCGGCAACGTGCCAAAACTACATGTTGGGCCTAGTTCGCCGAAATTTACTTAACGAGATGTAAATATATTTGTTTTGTAATTCTCATTTGTTAAGAAACGACCAACTATTTCAGCACATTATTCTGACGGTATATTTTGTATTGATTATTGACAGATTTAACTGTTTAACACATCACTTATCTCTCACTAAAGATCAATTTACTCGTCTTCACTGCAATGTTGTCGAAAGCGAAGTGATTATGTGTTATTTAAATATTGTATGTTAAACACTTGAAACATTTGAGAATTAACATAATGCGCTCATTTAAGGTAGTACATTTTTAGGTCTTCAAACATCCTATAATAAAATTGGCTGTATCTTTTTATGTTGTTTTTCACTTTAATAGAGAGCTAAAGAGTACCAAACACGCATCCTATATTAGTCATTTATTTAGCATACCGAAATAAACTGAATATATTTTTCAAATCAGATATACAATTTGAGATGTGCAAATCCTACATTACCGTCGAGAATCTGAATAAAAATATTACTCAAGTCTTTTCATACGCATTTATAAATTGAAAAAACATAAAAAAAAACTTCATTCCCCTTCGTTAATACTACCGCGGCCGTTTCGGGTCTCTGAAGGTCTTGTCCTACTTTTTAAAGCATTTTTATATTCGACCGTTTATAATATTTTATTGTTATTGCAAAAATGTAGATTTTCCACTGGACTTATCAGTAGAAAACAGTTATGCCCTGTAGGTGTTCTACTTTACCTCAGCACACGTGGTGTTATAGTTTTATTAATATACATGGCACATTAGCTTATCACAGCAAAATATCGATTAAATACATTGGCGCAACTAGCGAAGAGCTGGGGGCGTTGCAGCATCCCTAGTCCTATTTTATTAAAATTATGTGAAAATAACTTTTCTCGTTTTACGAAGGATTTCTTTTATCGGTAGTTGACAATAATTTGTCAATAAATAATATGATAATAAGGCGAACCGAAAAATAATACTAGTATAACGGTTAAAAAAATGTTGTTTTTTATCTTTGTTCGTTGTTTCTGGTAAGCAATAATTTAAGGAATGTTATTCGGGGGCGTTTGTGTCGGGAGGTTTATAAGCATAACATAATTTCAGTACCCCAACATTTTTGCTTTAGTTACGCGCCATGATTATACACATGAATGTTGACTTTTTTTAATAATAATAAAACAAATATAACGTTCAATATAAGTGCGCAGGATCGTTAAGTCAAATAAGAAATCACAATGCAAAAATTTCAATCGTGCAGACAATTCCAAATGATTTTAGTCAAAACAGTCCAGTCATAAATTACAAAAATCATTTCAGAATTTCAGACGGCCCACGTACTCTCGTGGGCTCAATTTACAAATCAACAGAGTGAACATAGTTTTGGAATTCCAAAGTACTAAATTTATTCACGTATTTTTTTCTTCGTTTTTATTTATGTTCAAGTCATACAAAATTTTACATTTCTGTGGATTAAGTCGATACAAAACCATGTAAAGGCATTTTATTACTCTTTTAATATTTTTACTATTATAATATCGGATATTTTCTCTTAAATCAATTTTTTCTAATGTTATTAGTTAACACACAATTAAATTTGCGAATATTTACAAGCTGAGAACATATTTCAACAAATTCAGATGTGTTTTATGACATAATTGTACATCAATTTATTTTACAGGCATTTTTAAAGAGAATAATTTGTTTATAATTTGAACTCTTCTACTGAAAAATGATAAAACACTTTATAATTGTGTTTATATTTTGTTGAAAAAAATTATGCTTCCTGGTTATTATCAAATCTATTATCAATTTAAAGAAGTTCTTTTTCAATTAGTCAATAATATTCAGTTTATAGTTATATATATATATATATATATATATTTTTTTTTTTATATTTTGAATAATTCATTTATTGTTGTTAAATAAAGTATGAATGAACAATAATTAAAATTTTAAATAAAAAATAAATAGGAACTGATAAAGTCTCAAGTTTAACTACTTACTACTCTATTGTCATTTGATCGACATCCTTTTACCTTTATTGGTTGTTAACAATATTTATTAAAACGTTATAACTTATCAAGTTTTCACGCCGAGTATCAGCGATAAAGTTAAAACATAATAATATATCTCATGTCAGTTATATAGAACAAGGCCGAACGGTTTTTGTAACAGAAATACCATAGGGTCCAATAAAAGATGTATGTTTCACATCTTTCAAGAAGGAGCTTAATTTTTTATCTTTATTTATTTTAAAAATCAAGTGCAAAAACATTTTTAGTGAAATACTTTCGAAAATCCCTTGAATAATATTACACTACAACAGAATGCGCTCAACAACGGAAAATTGTTTTGGAATAGCTTTCATAAAACATTGTAGTGCATAAAATAAAGAGATTAATCTTTAAAATATATTTTTATTTTGGTTATACGTCATTATTTTTACTAATATGATTAAAGATACGACTAATTTTCAACATTTTATTTAGCATTAACATAAAAACTAGACAAATTATACACAATTAAAATTTTATAAAAAATGAAGTTTTTTGAAATTTATTATTATTTTTTGACATATAAAAATGTCAAATATTATTACACATGTTTTTAGCTATTATTACCACGTGATAATTTTCCAGTTTTCTGTTTTACCAACAATAAAGTGCAAATATATTAATATTACGCATTCATTTGTTCAATAAATTACTAATCAATTTTTCTTTTACAGATTTTTGGCCATTTGGTATCCATTGAAGTGTCAGATCACCACACGTCGTGCCAGATACATAATTGGAATTATTTGGTTGGTGTCTACAACTATCACCATACCTTGGGCATTATTTTTTGACATGGTGGCTATATTTAAGGATGAACCTAATTTAGAGCTTTGTTTGGAAGTATGGCCCGACTATCTCGATGGTAATTTGTATTTCTTGTTGGGCAACTTGGGATTATGTTACGTTGTTCCAATGATAGCCATTTCGTTGTGCTACGCCATGATATGGATAAAAGTGTGGCGTAGAACTATACCTACTGACAATAAGGACGCGCAAATGGAGCGTATTCAACAGAAAAGCAAAGTGAAGGTAGTCAAAATGCTCGTTATGGTAGTCATTTTGTTTGTGGTGTCGTGGTTTCCGCTTTATGCGATTTTTGCCAGGATCAAGTTGGGTGGCCGTCTCAAGTCGTGGGAAGAAGACTTTTTACCCATAGCCACGCCAATCGCCCAATGGTTAGGTGCCAGTAACAGTTGTATAAACCCTATACTGTACGCTTTTTTCAATAAAAAGTTCCGTCGCGGCTTCACGGCCGTCTTGCAAAGTCGCAGCTGCTGGGGAACGCTCAGGTACAACGAAAACGTGACGTCGGCCAACTCGTGGTCGGCCAGTAAGGCGTCATACTACATCACCAACCATCACGCGTATACCAAGCGACAGTCCAGCCAGGAAACGAATGTATCATACATATTCAATGTCTGAGCGCAATTTGACAATACGTCGTCTGGAACGACTGGAGAATCCTCTTAATTTAACAGTCAGTTTCGTATAAAATTGTCACACGTGATAATAACTATACTTACTATGAACTGAAAATTAATATAATAATCATTACAAAAATAATATAAAACCTCCTTCAATGACGTTGGAAGTGTTTTCCGGTCCGGCGGCGGGAGATTTAGTCTCCCGCCGTCAACCATCCACCACTACATACTATACAACAATAGCTAATATTGTTATTTATAAATAATATTAACGTTGTTTTAAACTTTACGATACAAAAATATACATATAAGTATATTGATGATAATAATAACAATAATTGTAAACATCACCATCTTAGATGATACTGCCATTCGGTTCTTATATACGCATAATAATAATAATACAGTTGCATAACTTAAAATATTTATATAAAATATGTTAACTCTACGATAATACGGCCATCATAACTATGACAACCGTATGACCGCCCAATAAATGTATTTGTAATTACTGTCTAAGTCTATAAATATTATAATTGTAACGTTAAGCCGTATCTGACACAATCAATTTTTCACTGTATATACAACATAAAAAAATGATTAGTTAATAATAACCAAAATTCAATTAAGGTTTGTTAGTTGCACTGCTTATGTTGTCGTCATCGTTGAATTAGTGGCACGAAGGGGTTTGTGGCATATTCCGTCCATTTTAATGAAACATTTGCCCTTAACCAAACCCACCAACCCCTCATCATATACTAGGCCATCAACATTGTTATTTGTTCTCAAGACCATTTTTTCATGTTATACTGAGTGGACTTGACTTAACCATAATTCACCGTGAATTTGCATAACCTACCTTTATTCAAACTTTAGTAGACATATGTCTTTACCTATTGAACATGTCCCGAATACTTCTTGTATGTGACTCTTTTGCAACCTTATCCGTGAAAATAACTTGAAATGTGCACCCAAATATAAGCAAAATGTTAATTCGCATTCCAAAGACGGACGTCGTGATATAAAAAAGTGAGGAAAATATTATGTGCGGGCTTTATACTTATGTATTGTATCGTAAACGTAAAAGTGGCAAGTGTGAAATGAAAAAATTAAAAGGATATGATCAAATTTGAGAAAAAAGAATTTAAAGTGGCGACCGATAATAAAAGCAGATGTTATGTGGTCGTGTAAAGAGAGGTGGAATAGAAATGGAAAAAATACTCGAGAATGAGATAAGAGCATTGGACATAAAAGATAAACAACAGAAAAACTCATAACACAAAAAGAAAAAACAAAACATAATAATTTATCATTAAAAGTACTACGAAAGAATTCCGATATGTAATAACTGTAAAAGAATACACTGTATCGATTTATCAAAATCCATACATTAGATTGTTTTAGAAACGATAAAAAATACAATCATTCTTTGTGAGTAGAACTTCATGAGTTTCTAATGATATTTTTTACTGCTTCCGATTGACAAAATAAAATTGAGTACCTAGTAGTAAATACAGTTTGTTTCTAAAAAGCTAAGCGATCCATTCCCATACAACGTGTATGCTGTTGGAAACGACTAGCATAAGATATTGTACAATGTTTTCTCAGTTTAAATATTTACAAATTTCTTGAAGTTTATTTTTATTATTTTTTCCGTGGCTAATCGCTTTGTTCTATAAAACTTGGTAAGAAAAATTCGAGGATAGAATTTAGAACTAGTAGGTTATCAGTAAATGTAAAAAGTCATATGTCAAAAATTAATATCAAAATCGTAGTAGATATTATAAAACGCCTAAATAGTTGTAGGGTCTGAAAAGGACTATTCGATGGCTATATTTACGGTTACTATCATAGAAATCCATCAGATAAAATCCAAAGCCTTTTTTATAATCATCATACATTTTTTTAAAAGATACTTCAGAAAATTAAAAGTTCCTGTAATGTAAAATAATTAATAATATATATTTTAAAATTAAAAAAATTAAAGTATAATGATATTAGTTTTAATTTAGATAAAATAATTATAAACAAAATTTTTTTTTTAAAAACAACTTTTTCGAGGATCGCATATTTACTAAGGAGGAAACAAGTCACCGCCAATAGAAGCCTATAGTTACTATTATTATTAAAAATCTCAACAAAAATAGTAATAATAGTAATAGAAGTTAAAGTTAAATTGTTAATGAGGATAACTAATAGTTCGCATGGATTGTATAAGCGTGTATTTTTTTTTAATGTTGTACAGTTGTATAAATAAATTTACAAAACTTTGAACAACACCAAGTTGAATTGATATCACAAAGTCTGAAAGTCTTATTTGCATGGTATACTTAATAAAATATGGTTAAATTATAAATGTACTACTAATTATAAATCATTTTTTTTAATGTGCACGAGTTAATATCAACTTGCATAATGCTATAAGGCAAACTACCAGTAATTATATTTTATATACTATATTATAAATTAGGTCACTATTTAGCTACTGGATATATATATTATTATTATAAATATTGCTCTAATCATGTAAAGAAATAATTTTATAATAAATGAAAATTATGAAAATAATATGAAATCATAAAATTAATTAATTAGTATGGATGATATTTATTAAACTATTGAAGTTGTTGTATCTGCCATATTTGTAAAGCAAACAGTTTAGAGACTCACTATTTGATAATCTTAAGGAAGTATTTAGTATAAGTACAATCATTTACTGTGTGAATTATGTTTTTACATTAATATTGTATAAAACTATAATCATTATTATTTTACAAACTATAGAGAGATAAAAACAAAATTTTTAAGACTTTATATACTTTTTTATTGACACGAGTCAGAAATATAACTGGCATTGATCAATTATATATCAATTATGTTTATCTCATCTTTTATTAAATGTTATACTTTTATTTAACTCTTATTTTCGTTATCACAAAAATAATTTATTCGCATAGATGAGAAAACTTTAAGCAAAATACTTTAAAGAAATTTTTATTCTTCTGTTGTAAAAAAAGAGTAAAATAATTCAAATAGAAAAAATACAATTTTTGGAGATAACTCATTTTATCATATTATTATAAATTAAACACTATAAAATATGGTTAAATCAATCTAAGAAAATATTTTAAACAATGATGTAAATAACTTTCTTAAAAAAAATTAATAATGCTAAGCAGTTAGTTTTGCAGATGTATTGTCTACTGTTAAATTTTTTAAGTTTTAATATTGTGGATGGCAATATGCATTCCTTAGAAAACTAATGGCTTAACTTGTAGGTTTTATTACCATAACCTATTAAAGAAAGTTAAATTATTATAAATTTAAGTGTGGATAAGTTCTATGCAAGTCACGACTGTAACTTTAATGATAAGATTCTTAATTATTAATAATAAAACATAAAATGCATGTAATAATTCGTACAGTTAGCCAATAGATATAATAATTTATCTCCCCTACACTTAGTAATGAACTATGGTAATTACAGTATTATTGTAATATTGTTTTTTTATAAAAATACACTCATTAAAATACACAAAACAATTGATTTTTATTTTTTATCATCCTTTGTTAAAGTCTGTCATAAAGATTGTTTTATATGAAGAATATTACATTTTTATTATAAGTTAAATACATTTATGCTTGTTCATAGTTTTTAATACAGTAGTGTTTCATAAAGTTAAAGTGATATATTTTACAAAAAATAAAAGTAAAAACACATTATTTAAGTATCAATAATCATTGTTTAAATAAGAAAAAAAAATGTAAATAATATAATTATTGATGATCATAAAACAGTAATTTGAATTTAATTATTCACATATTAAGTAAAACGGGTAAAATGAAACATTTGTCATATTTATCTTTACACACTTCTAATTCAAAAATAATATTTTTGAATAATTATGAGAAAATGTTTTTTTAATTAATTTGTTTGAAACTATCTAATTTGATTAATTATTTCTAGAAATATCTAGTTTAATAAGCAACTTTGTAACTTTATAAATATTAAAATAAAAAAGTAATAATTAATTTTGTGGTTATAGTATCACTGTTAATTAAACTTGAAAACATATTTAGTAATAAATAATAAACATAGATAAATTATTAATAAACATCTATAGTTGATAAAAATATCAAATAATTATAATTGTCATAACTAGTGAAGTCAACAATACTTTTATAATTGTGTTTAAATAGAGATATAAATAGTCTTAATTATTTAGAATATACTTCAAATACTTTTGCAAAAATGTATTTAAGGATTAATATAAATATTTTTCATTTATTTAAAATTATTTTTATAAATACTTTTTTGTTATCTTAATTTGAGTTCACATTTAATATGAAAAGTAATAATTTCCCACCAATATAAAACAACACTTATTAATAACTACCAATAAGTTAGTACTTAATTAAATAATACACTTTTTTTCACTTTCAAAATAATAAGTTCTATCAACCATTAATTATGAATCAGTGAGTTTTAAAATTATAAACATATTTTTATTCAAATTTAAAATGCCTAGTACAAAAATTACAGAAAATAAAAATAAACCTTTTTAGTCTATTTTAACATTGTTTTTGTTGTAATATAACATCTTAGATAATATTATCAAATTGAAACTTAACAAATTTCAAAACATTTCATTGCACTTAAGAAGCATTGTTATTCAAAATAATCATCACTCATGTTCTCTTTTACTTAATTACTATAGCACTACCAACATTAAATATACATTCAATAGGAGCACTTGATGGAAACTGATTATTATCTGAATAAAACCATTTTTCATAATGGACATAATACTCATGTATTGAAATATAGTAGGTTATTGTTGTTATTTGTAGGTTTTAACTAAGTTTTGTGATTCCATCAGATAACATTCACTGTCCTCTAGCATTTAAAATTTAACAATTTGACTATCTTTCTAGAGTATTTAAATTTCAAGTAGAGGAAATATAAAATTATGTTAAACACTAAAATAGCTTAAATAAAAAGTATTTAAAATACTCTATTTGTATTTAGATCATTTACTCAAATACTTTAAAACTAGTAAATATCTTTACTAGTCTTGTAAAATCTTTTTAAGATCTGGTCATAATCAGATTTAATTAAATTTATTTATAAAAATTATTGTTTTAATAGTTTTAAAATTTTAAAACAAGTTTTACTGTCAATACTTATGTGTTATCTCATTTAAGTTATTGGACTACAGAGTTGAAAGAACAAATCAATTTTAACAAATGTACTTGAATCAACATGAAATATATTGATAAATATTTGTTGAATTAGTTTACTAATATATTAGTAAATTCATTAATAATTATGTAAGTAAGAGTGGATGGGACACCAATGTCCTAGAGAACACAAAAAATATGTGGCTTCATCAAAAAAAGCGATATACAAAAGAATAAAAGGTCATAAACCAATTTTACAAACCGGATTCGCTATTCATGGCAACCCTAATCGTTATATAAACAGCGACCAAGAGCAAGTATCTCTGTCCACCCTGAACTTAAAAAACGATGCTACAAAAACTGTCATATAATTGTCATCACTAAATTATCTTATCAATTATTTCGAAAAATGTTTTACTAGTATAACCATAGATAAATATTACTCTATGAGTATAACTGAATGTACGATACCATATACCTGGTAAAACTGTTTTTGTATAGATAATACGAGTGCAATAACCTAGGAATTGAGATTACAGGTTTCACTATATTTGTAATCACAGATTAATGGTAAAAAATAGTTTCACTTTAGAAAACTCACAAAAATTGCTGCTAATAATAATTGACTAAATGCAATCTGTGATATATTTTTTTTATCCTGAGTAAACACTATCAATTCTTATTTAATTAACTATAGTAAGTGACTATATTTTAAATAATTCCACATATTGGATCATTTAATGTACTGGTTTCTTAAAAACTTCATAAGTGTTAACATTTCATTGCAGATAATTATGAATTATTTAAATTTTGTTCACTAGTTTTTATGTACGGAACAATGTTTCTATTTGATAGTATTTCATGTGTATTAAATTTTAGAAGTTGATGATGTAAGTTATTTACATAAATTAATGACTCAATTAAATATTGCAATGATACTATTTTATTAAGTTGCTCAAACGAAATTTATTTCTACAGTTTGCAACTGAAGTTGCAATGCAGAAAGAAGGAAAACCTAGATTTCTCAAACATCATAGCAATAGCGTTAGAGGAGTTGCTTTCAGTCCTCGGGTAATAATAAGAAACATCATAATTGAATACAACTACTTTTTCATATATTTTATAGGATCGATATTTGTTTTGCTCTGGTGGATATGATGGAAAAGTCAATTTGTACTCTTCATTACGAATGGAATTGCTAATGTCTTATTCCATCACAACTATGGCTATAGCGAAAAATGTTAATGCAGTAAGATTTACATCTGATGGATCTAGGGTATATTTTTAAAAATTTAATAAATATATTTTTTTTAAATAAACAACTTTAATTCTGTTTGTTAACTTAACTTAATTATATTTTATTAACTGATTATTATGTTCTTTAATAAATATGATTTTTATAGATCTTAGCATGTACAACATCACGAAGGTTATCAGTAGTAGATGTTGAGCGAGGAGAACAATTATTAGCTTATGACAATTGTGCAGCCAGTGGAAGAGATAGAACAGGCTTAGCTACTGATCCTACTTCACCAAACATTGCAGTTTCTGTAGCTGTTAATGGCAAAGGTTTAACTTTATTAGATCTTCGAATGCCACTACCTTTAGATTATGTATATGATGTATGTTAATTTTATACATGCTTCGAGTTATTATAATTAATGTTAATTTATTGTTTTATAGCTACATTCAAGTACAATTCGAGATATAGTATTTTTAGAATCATCCTGGCCATGGGCAACTAGTAATGGACTACTTAGTACAATAGTTACAGCTGGTTCAGATGGGTGTTGTAAAGTGTGCACCATGGATGGAAGAATACTGCACACCTTTTACTCTGGTCGTCATTTGAACACTGTTTGTCCTACACCTGAACCATTCCAAGGGTTTTTGTCAAATGGATTTTACAGTAAAAAAAGTTTTTTTTATCTTATTAATTTAGAATAAATAAATAAATATATATATATTATTAAATAGGTGTGATTATGAGTGGTGGTGATAAAATAACTTCTTATGTTCCAAACTTGGGAATCCAAGAAAGTTTTTCTGAAAATCGGGATAAACCAATTTGGAAAGTACGATATACATCAAATGGAAGTTTTTTATACACAGTATGTGAAGGTGGTATTGTTCGTAAATATAGAAGGTATCCGGATCGTCATGAATATCTAGGTGAAGTGTATAGTCATAAAGGAGACATTCAGGATTTGGATATTTCAGCTTATGATGAATGTATCCTTTATCATCAAAATTTTATTTTATTTTTTATTGTTGAAATAAAAATTAATACAGTTCTCACTATGTTTTACAATCATTAATAACTTCCAGAAAATAATTTACGTTAATTTTTATAAAAATAATTTTTACAGTTTTAGACTACGTTAAATCATATTTTTAATTGTTTGTCTTTAACTTATTGGTAAAAAATTTAATAGGTTGATAATTACCTTAAAATAAGTACTACTTAAGTTTGACATTTTAGTATATAAAGTGAGTATATGCACAGATAGAACTTTAATAGTGTAAAGTTATTATGGACCCATCTAAATATTTGTATGAAAAAATTAAATTTTAAAATTTCAAATGAAAATTTTAAATTTTTTTCTTATTAGAGACAAATAATAAAAAAATATGTTTTCAATGTAGTCCAAAACTAAAAAAAAATAATTTTAAAAAAGTGATGTAAAATATTTGCTGGAATAAAAATTATAAAAGATGTTAAAACCTATTGTGACACCTGTATATTGTTTTTTTAAGGAGATCCGTATTTAAAATAAATTAAACCAGACAAGTCAAATATTCTAATTTAACTTTTTTTTTTATGTATTGATTACAAGTATTGTTATAAGATTTAATATTTTCTATTTAACTGTTATTGTTATTTAACATCATAATTATTGGATATTGATATATCAAAAATTTAAATTTCATAAATGTTGTATATACTGAATTCATGTATAATAAGATTAAGCATAACATAATTATATATAAATTGTCAAAATATTTAAATATTCTAAAAACATAATTATATTTTATCAATTATACATTTAAAATGATTACAGCGTTAAAATGATAAACCATAAAATTCTTTTTGTAAGTATACTTAATAAATTGGGTATATTTTTATAGAAGATGATTTAAAATATCCTTCCTCTTCAATATCACTTTTTACTATAAATATTTTTAATATATCTCATAATTTTATTTTAAATGAATAATAATTATTTTTGATATGCCTTGTTAAAATATATATTTTTAAATTATGAGAATTAAATGTATAAATCTCATATTAAATTAAGTAATATGAATTTGTAGTGTATATAATGTGATTATTCAATGAATTTTTTTTAACAAAATTTAAATTAGATCTTATTACAGCATCAAAAGACCGAACTGTTGGAGTTTTACGTTTGGGTGCACCAAGTCATGGATGGACGGATTATGGTGAACTAACATAACTTAATTATATAAACTCAACAGTATTTTTAAATTGTGAACTACCAAAATATTTAAATTACAAAACTTGTAAATTTGTAAATTTATTACATTAGTGGATAATAAATTGTAAGGGACTTATTTTGAAATTTTATTGCCAACATAATGCACCAAATAATGTGTAATAAATAACTGAAATTTGAATGTAACTATGTGGATTAATTTTTCTATTAAATGTATATAAAATTTGATATATAATAAAATTTATTTTAACATTTATAATTCTTTTATTTATTTTATATCTTAAAAACCATGAAAGTGAAAATAGTTTTTTTTGAAACATTAAAAATTTTAATATTCTTTGTATACTACAAAGTATTTATAAAATATTTTCTTATCAACAAGAAAGGCAAAATAAAATGAACAATTCAATTAAAGCCACAATTAGAACAAAAAGTTTGTTTCTTAGTGTTTCTTAAAACTTAGTGTAATTATTTACCCAATAATAAATTTACGATAATGAGGGTTCAAGGGGTTTTGACCCTTTTAAATGTTTATATAAAATTTTAAATTATGTAAATCATGTAAACAGAATCATTTACGTGTCCTAGACATTCATATCAGAGAAAGGAGATGAATTCTTATACCAGTCGTTGGTGCAACATCACAATTTTATAATTAATTTAAACAGGTCACCAACTAAATTGAACTATGATTTTTAATAAAATTTAAAAAGTATTTTAATCGAAATTTATTTGAAATTTTTCTCGTGGTTCTTACTTTATACTAAAACAGGTAAATAATATATCACCTCAACTGTTAAATTTTGGAGAATATTAATTTTTAACTATTAATTTTGTTTTAATAATAAGAATAAAATATCAAGGTTATGTCTTGATGTGGACAGAGATCTACCCATGACAAAAATAATTGTATGGCGTCTTTTGCGATACGCAGGGTCGGCTCAATATATTTTACAGCTTTGGGTGAAATCATTTATTAAATAGAAACCGATTTATATATTTTTCAATTATAGTTTTTTAATCATTTTTTTTATTTAAAGTGAAAAATGTTTAAATGTCGTCAAGATCATTCACCCGCGTGTTATGCAAAGTATAAATGTGCGTAATTGTTCTTGATCAACCGGTTAGTAACGTACATAATTAAGATATAGCTTGATCTAAATATACATTCAAAAATACTCCTTACCTCTTGAACCTCTCCCACTGTGATCTCGGGTAATTAAGATTTAACCATGTTGTTTTATTAAAAGCCCTTCAAATAATATTTAAAAAAATATATGGTTCTTTTTTGTTTATACTAGTTAAATATAGTTACATAGCAGCAAAACTATACTATTGATCAATTTTTTATTTTCTCATATTAAACAAAATTACTATCTGAAAATAACACAGGTATTCATAGTTCTTAAAAATATTTGGTTTGACCAAAATTTTGGCTTCAAAATTATTTTGAATAATAAATTAATAATTAGTCAAATTTTGAAGTAACTTAATTTAAAAACAAGTTTTTATAAAAATATGTTAGAAACACAACACAGTAATTATTGTAACTATTCATTCATGTAACTACAACATAAAATATACGTAATTATAATATTCAATAATTATTTATGGTTGAAAATATATTTAAAACATCAATTTAGATATTTTTTAGTTTAAATTAATATTTTATTTATATTTTAATTATTATAAAAAAAATTGTTATTTGATTTTTTCTAATTTTTAGTTAGATTATTAAATAATTGTTGTAATTATGATATATTACATATTGTAGCTTCGAAATAAAAGTGTAAATTTTGATTTACAAAAATATTTCCTTAGTATGAAAAATAATAATTTTTGAAATGAGTTCAAAGATCTTTTCAATAGTCACGATTGGTCGGACCAAATAAAGATAACGAGTGAGATATAAATTTTGGTTAAAGTTTTGTATATTCCCATGCTCTACCGCGGTTGATAAATAACATCTAAAATGAGACAAACGTAACACGGGGTGCGTGCGCATATTTTCTTTCTATTCTTATCACTCCCACAGTTTTAATCAGTATGCGGCTATTGTTATTAGCGGCACTTAGGAATTAGATCAATGATATTGAGCAGGTCGGTACCTCTTTATTAAAAAAAAATTCACTAACATTTCGCGTGTTGAACGATAAGAGCAGTTTTGTGATGTCAAATTCTAAAAGTTGATGCAATTTTTTCGCCTAATGGCGGTTTTCGTTAGTATGACTACGGTTATGGCGTCTGTTTATTTTAATGAATCTTAAAAAATTATCAAAATACCATACTGTACATAGAAGACGGTAATTTTTTGTTGATATAGTGAGTAAAAACTACATAATTCATATAATTATTAAATGAATCTTTTATAATTATTAGTTTAAAGCTAATGCTTGAATATTGTTATTTTTTATAAAATTATCAAGACGTGTCAAGTTTTATCGTAAGCTTAAATTATGTGATTTTATTACAGAATAAAACTTGCTTTTAATGGCAAATTAAAATTTCTGTTTAATGTATGACCTCTTACTCATTAAAAGAATGACTTTTCAAATGTAATTCTTATTCTTTATTATATTTTAAAATTTTGATTTTACGTATGCTAAATAAATACTTAATAGTGTAAATTATCATAGCCATCAAACTAGTATATAAAAATATTTTATAGTTTTAATTTATTTTTTTTTATTATGTAATTTAAACAACTTCTACTTAAATTTTAGAAAAATAATAAATTTAAAAATGTATTTTCTTTTACTAAAGAAGTTTCGTGGTTTTTTCAATGAACAAAATTGATATATTTTATGGAGGTTATTAGTTAAAAAAATGAAAAAAGGTTGAGTCATTGGATATTTTTTGTTTTATTAATTACTTTTTACACAATGAATTGTGTTTTTACTAACTAACCTGTGGTTTTAAAAGTCATTTTTCATCAACAAACGCTAGTAATGGACTTTTTTTTAATTAGTATATCATTTACATATTTAAATGAATTACGAAAGATATTATGTTGAGGCGTCAAGTAAAACTGACGTTTAATAATAAATTTATAATTCATAATTATAAATCATACTATAATTTGTAAAAAATTAAAATTGTCAATTGACTAAAATAGTAAGGAAAGTATCGTCCTCGAAGTGTTGCACTAGAATAATATTTCACTTGCCTTGACCACTTGAATTATTGGAATATGAGTATGATAAAAAATTATATAAACAGCGTGATCAACAGTACTCTTATTTACGTGTGAAAATTATATTTTCGATAACAGCGTAATTAATAATCATTTTGTTAATGTTTGGGTCGATAGGCCTACAGGCGCAGCTGTGACAGATGTTATTGACAAATTGCGTTCTTCTGGTAGTTCTAGTTTACATTGAACGTCGGTGATTACCAGATAGTTCATTAAGCATAGCCTGGTATTTTTTGTCTTCGACTAGTGCGGTATTTTTTCTAATAACAATGGTCTTATACTTTCTATGTTCTATCATATAATTGTTTTAAACGGGAGAGCTTTTTGGATAGTGCTCCACTGGTGTTCGGTAATTATAATTGTTATTGTTGTCATCAAACCTGAGACAGTAGACACTCGTATGCGTTGCCAGCAGGTGTATATATCTCATATAAAAACCAGCCGCGGTTTTAGGTCAAGTTTCCGACATAATGTTTACGTGTCGTAATGATCCTGTCATGAATTCTTAATTGATATTGAAAAACGAAAGTGTACTTGCTGATTGTTCATACCGTAGAGTACAAACAGGACCGATAACCGAGTGCTTCGCCACTCGACGAACCGCAATGGTTTATTTACACACCTGACGTTCTCGTTACGAAGCATTTGCAATGTTATTTATTTAACTTAAATACACGTAATCGTCGATAGAGCCCTTGGTCCGCCGCAGTGAGAAATTTTGTTTATGTTTTTCAATTTTTAACATTTAAAAAGACAATTGTTGACCACCGAATACTTTGAAAACCACAAATATGGTTGTCTAGTTATTGTTTTACAGTAAACTGTTATCGAATGAATAGTTTACATTATCTTTTACTAACATCAGCGTTTTCCCCGAATATGTCTATTTTATTTCGTCCTTGTAGGTATTCTAAATCAAGACATTCATAAGAATAACGATATTATAATTGTGACTAAATTATCATTTTTTAAGTGTTGTGTTTTCAACACGTTGTGATGTATGGGTGCAGTGTTCATGAGCATGTGTACGCCCATCATAAGTAGTATTAGCTACCGTTAAATGAACAGCCGACTGACGACAATCGGTCACGATATCACTCTGACGTACAATTCAATAAATATAGCTGATAATTAAGTAGTCGTATTATTGAATGATAATATTATGATCAATTAGCACTATGAGTTCATTGGTGCAATATATCGAAATTCGTGATATTTGACATTTTAATATAATTCAATATAGTTTATTATTCCCTATCTTATTATACAAGAAATTTGCATAAAAGTTGACATAAACTTAATATAAATGCTAAAAACAAAGTAACACACAATGTAACTCTTATGGAAGGTTGAAATTTTGAAACCGTTTATCCCAAAACCATATTTTTCGATGAACGGTTCTCTTGCACTCACAGTGCAAATTATAATAATTGATTGTCTTTAATAATAATTATAATAAACAATTATTTTTATTGGGGTAGCTAGAAATTATCATATGAATGTCTGTAAAAACACTGTGATGAATTTTGTTGTGGTGAATCCCAATTTTTCTTTTACGCCTAGATGGAGAATTCCCAATGTAACTGGTCTGTTGAATAGTTTGGTGTAATTAGTGGTTCCTTACGCATACTCATTTTCAGTGACGTAAACATGACACTGAACTAAGATACACCTGAATGTGGGGATTTTGTTTATAAATATATGGCTGGATATAAGATAAAGAGTTGACGTCATGTTATGTTTTGATCTTATGTATCTTTTTTATGTTTACTACTATTTTGTTGTGAATTACCATAATTGTGCAATAGCTATAAAATCACTGTGTAATTGTGTTATCGTTTCATCTTAATCATACATATTTAATTGTTATTGTTTATTTGCTATTCCAGAACCGTTTTCCGCTGTACCATTATATTTCGAATTATGTTCTCTGTATCTGTCGTAGTTTTGATGAAATATTTTGACTTTAACGTTCTTTTTTACTGTCATATTTTGTTTAATCATGTCCTTATGTCAATATTTTTTTAATGATATATGGTCAGTGCCCCGACGGTGATGC